AGGAAGGTTGCTTAACGGTTATGAAGGTGCAATTTTTTTATAAAGTCTGCTCTTGAGTGCAGATGCAAGTGCCTGCAGGATGTGCTTTCCTTTGCTGGAGTTTGTGGTGCAGACCAGAGCTATTTTGTGGGAGCTGCTTGCAATACACCTTGAATGAAATGGCATTACCAAAGAACAATTCTGAGATACTTCACATACATTGAAGGAGAGTCTGAACTTTGTAACTTTGCAGAAATCTAAGTATTCTTTCTTTCCTGTTTCTGCAGGCAGAGCAATATCAGAAGAAGAATCGGAAGATGCTTGTTATTTTAATTTTGTTTGTTATAGTAATTGTCCTTATTGTTGTTCTTATTGGTGTGAAGTCACACTAGGTTTCACTTCATTTTCTTATTTTTGGAGCTTATGTGAAATGTTTTTTTTCCCCCATGTGAATGGATGGACCTGTACTCTAGAAAGCTGCCTTTGAATGTACAAGCCCTTGTGGTACAAAGTCTGTGCAATGTTTGTGTAGAATTCTTCAAAGTACAAGTTTGGTGATGTGTGAGGTGTTGATAAGGGTTGTATGGAGACTTTCAGGAAATATGATGCTCCCACACAAATAATTTGGTGCTCTTTGTGGAGGTACTTGGAAACAGAGTACTTCAAAGTAATTACAAGATTGAAGCTTACCAGTGGGTACAGTAGTTAGTGTGTTACTGAGAACAAAAATGTGTTGCCTTCTGTATTATGTTACAGTTGTTACAAGCTTCAAATTTAAACTGTGTTGTTAAGTTGTGGGACTAGATAAGATTGATCTAGATGTAAAATATGTTGAGGCACAAAGATGTTTGATTTCATCCCATTTCTTCCAGACTCAAACTCCAAAGAACTGGATAAATAGCTTCAAAACAAAGCTTTTTAGCAACTAGAATGTATTCCAGCCCCTGTGATCTTAATTTAGATACTGCACCATTACTGAGAATCAGGATAGTACTTGATCTTGTAAGTAACAAGATTTAATCACTGGCATAATTTAACACATTTAGTTAATTAAAAAATTTTCTGAGCTTGAGTAATCATGGGAATGTTTTTCCTCACCAGAATGATCATGTATATATTTTCATGTACAATTTCTTCAAAGTACAGACATTGTATTAAAGCAGTGGTGAAGTTAAACCTAAAAAACAGACCCTTTCCTTTTGGCTGTCTACTTAATGTGGCCTTTTATAGCAGGTCTCAGTTGTTTCATACTTTAGTTGTTATTGTATAAGCTGTTTATTTTACAGTGTATCTGTCCATACCTGTGATGTTTTTGTGTAAGTGACAACATACATGACATCCATTTGAGTATTTCTTTCACATGCCTGCCTGGAACTGGGTGTGTTTGTGGTCTCTTACTGACCATGAGAGATGTCATTCAAGTGACATGTTACTAGGCCTTCTGTAGAGAACTTGGGTTTTTTTTTCCACTATTTTTCTCAGTGGAAAACTGTTGTAGGCCATAAAAGAGAAATTTGGGCAATGTCTAAGTAATAGAGTACCCATTATTTAATTCAGGCCTGAAGTGGTGTGCAATTGTAGAGGTTTTGCCTTAATATTTTTAATATGGCTTTTCTGTAGGGATTTTTTTTCTCCCAAGGGACTGTAACTTATTTTCTTCATTTTCTGACTGACACAGTGCTCCCCATAAACTTGCAGAGTTCCTCTGCTCAAAGTCCCTGAGGTGCAGTTTCATAATAATGTTTCCTGCCCTGAGTTTATCTTTACTATGTACTATGGAGGACTTAAGATGTGGCTTTAAACTGACTTGGTCCAGGAAGTGACCTGAAAACAAAGACTACATAGACATGAAAGCCTTGGCTTTTTGTTGGCTTGGTGTGAGAAGCTTTGTACCACTCTTAGCTCTAAACCAAGGGGATCTTGAACTTCCTAAACTGCCAGTTCAAATCCCTGATTAAATTAAGAAAGTAAAAAAGAATAATGCTTGTAGTTGGGTGTGCAGCTCCCTTCTTCTGGTAATAAATTTTCTCAATGACTGTGAGTAAAACTACTGTCTCCGTAGTGTGCTGTCTACATCAGTTGGTGTGAAGCAGCATATTGTTATAATTTAATATACTGTATTTGCAACTTTCTCTAACATGAGATGGTGTTATTTATTTCTGTCTTGACTGGTGCTTTTGACATTTTATCATGGCTAATGAATTCAAAGAAGTAATAAAACACTTCCAACCTAATTGGGGCATTATTCATTTTTCTTAAACTCTAAACTGAAACATACTTTTGTCAAGTTAATGCATCTCTATATACTCTTCATATTTATATGAAAGCAGCAGTGACATGAAATATTTTTTGAAAAAAAAATTAACTTTTTGTAGCACAATGTAACCTGCATTGTTAAGAGTTATTTCTAATGAGTTATGTCCATGATGTCTTAACTGAAGTAACTGGCTACATATTTTCTATCCACATTATGTAAAAAGAAATGCATTTTAATATGCATTGGACAAGAGGTTAAACTTGGATGTCAAGTGTCTTGTGTAACTTGAGCTAGAATTCATTGAAGCGGATTATGTCCAGGAAAGAACCCAACAAAACAACTTTCAGATGTCTAGCTTGTTACAATTCAGTCTAAATACTTACCAGCAGCCAAATCAAGCCTTCATGCTGTGCTCTGTAAAAATTTCTACATGGAATGTTACAGAATTGGTACCATCTGTGTTGTTGGGCAGTAGAAGCCCCAACAAGCCAATGTAA